CCGCGCGCCCCCCCCGCCCCCCGCCCCCCCCCGCGGAGGCCTCCGCCCTCGCTCACCTGCGCAGCCCGCGCCATCGCACGCTTCGTCGCCAAAGCCCCTCAGTCCTGCAGTCACCGGGACCGGCAGCCCCGCCCCCGGGCCGAACACCCCCCGCCCTGGGAAAAAGTCCTCCGGCGTCCGCGATGCACCTCGACCCTTGCTGAGCCCGCCGCTAGCCGCCTAGCGCAACCCTCTGGAAGGCCCGCGCCCGAGGAGCTGCCACCCGGGCGCACTCGCGCCGTTCGGCCGCCCACGCAGCCTGTCACATGCCGGGCAAGCTCATGGTCGGCCGAGTCGTCCCCTCCCGCGGACTTTGCGACCGTGCCGTAAGGCAGCCCCTCGCACCGTCGCGACTCCGGTGTGCGTGCGGTAGCCGGCGGACGGCAGCCATGGCGGCCTTGCGACCACCAAGGGGGTTCCGCCTTCCTCTCTGCCGCGCCTTCTCCGGCGGCGGCTGCCAGCTCGTCCCCGAGCGCGGCGGTGAGCGCAGGGATGCCGCGCCGAGCCAGGTGAGCGTGGTTCCCGGAGAGGTTGGGCCGGGAGTGACCGCGAGGGGCGACAGACCCGGGCCGCGCCCCTCAGGGACACACGTGGGCGCTCACCTGCGTTGCCGCACTGGCGGCCTCGGCTGAGCTCCGGGAGCAGGGTCCCCGAGCCGGCACGGGCCTGGCGCGGAGCAGCGTACGCGGCGTAGGGGGACGGGCGGGTGGGGAGGCCCCGGAGCCCCCAAGTGTCCTGCGTCGCCGCCACCCCGGGGCTGTTGACAGAACTTCTGTTAAGTAGAGCAGAGTCAGCTAGGAAGTTTATACGTACCTTATTTCTTGTCGAGGATAATTAGTCTTTACATTTAAAGAGCTGTTGATAAGCACAGCGTGTGTGTGTGTGTGTTCGCGCGCGCTCGGCCTCGTTCAAAGTATTAGTGCTTTTCGTCAAGTGATGACAAACTATCGTCATATCTTGTAGGACTTCACGTTGAACGCTTTTTCTGGTTTGGAAACTGTGTGCATATATGCGTGTTACTGACCAAAGATGCACAAAGATGAATATCTTTAGCAGCAAGGGGTGGCGAGCAGTTTTTATAAATTGCACTTCTTTGGGGCAGGATGTTTTGTTTGAGGGAGCCGTAGGCCTTCATTCCAACTGTCACATGAAAATTTGGACTAACGGTGTGGAATGGACTGCAGATAGAATATTTCAATGAAGCCTAAAAATACTGGACCTCCCTGGCGGTCCAGTGCGTAAGACTCCGCGCTTCCATTGCAGAGGATGCGAGTTCTTTCCCTGGTCGTGGAAGTTCCGCATGCTGCGCGGTGCAGCCTGCCCCCGCCCCCCACCCA